AATAAAAGACAAGTGACCCAATTTAAAAATGGACAAACTAATACCAACCATTCACATTTCTTTGATCTATGAAAAGAGAAAAAATGTTGTAAGATACAGAAGGTAAGAAGGAAGAAAAGAGGAAGCAGACAAAGAAAAACCTAGATCTTCATGAATCAGAAAAAAGGCCATGGGCAGGCAGACGGAATGGCAGAAGCTAGCCCAAGGCCCAGAGCTGGCTGAAGCTGGTGCTGATCTCTTACAGAAGCATACTGAAGTTGTTAATGGCCCCGCCTCTCTATGTGATGTGAATGGATCTTATTCACTTTCTGCCTTGCCACCTAGTCAGGTGAGCGAACTAGAGCTGAGGAAAAAGTCTTAGACCGCATGTGCCACCTCCACCTTCACCAATGCACAGATCAGGAGATGTAAAACCCATACCTACCTGTATCAGTTCTGCTACAGGTTTGATAGAAAAATCGCCTTCAGGCACAAGCTACAGGCAGAACACCTGTGTTTGTGAGTCCCACCCCACATACTTCTTCCACCACCAGTACCTCCCCCACCTCCAGCTCCAACCACTGCTCAGCAAGCTCCAACAGTACCACCACCCTCAGCTTCTCTTCAGATTGTCCCTGGAGTTCTTCAACCAGCTTCTTTCCCAATTACACCTTTTAGTACAACCCTCTCTGCCAGTAGCTAGACCTGCCCCAGTACATAAGACTATTAGTTAATTCACCCCAACAGGGTGAAGTCAAGGAGCTGCTTCAACCTTCACCGCCTCCCCCTCCGCCTCCACTTGGCATTTGACCATCATCATCTGTCACAGTTGATGCCCTTGCTCATCTTCCTGCTGGGCTATATCCAATAACACGTACTACTACCTCAAGTCCCCATATTCCATCAGTGTTTCCATCTGTCCCTTCACAAGCTAAACCTGCTTGTGAGTCAAAGTGTTACTAATCAACTGTACTTGTAATCAGTGATGCAAATATATTTATGGAAACAATACAGAAAGGTATTCAACTATGAAAGGTAAAATTGTGGTGTGAACAGAGAGCTAAGCATGAGCACATTGAACATCATGTTGCCACCATCCTTTCTCACTGTGCTGCTGTGGAATATAGTGATTCAGGAGATGATCCAGAATTTGATAGAGTAGATCAGTTGGAGTAAGAAAAATTCACTGATAAATATTACAAAACTGAATGCAAGCATCCTTTGTAGCACTTGTTCTTTAAAAATTCTTGGCTCTTCTAGTGTTTTGCTTTATTTTCCTTGTGATAACACATTTCCTCCATTTTTAAACAATTCCCATGACAATGTTAAAATATATTTCAAACTAAGTGTTTCACAGTGGCTTATCTTTTTTGTCCCTGAAAAGACCTAATTTGATCAAATAAATCACTAAGTTTTAAGCATGGAATCCTATTGTTAGAATACCAAATTTAATTTTTTGATATGCATTAATTATACACTTTGTGACTTTTAAAGGAATCCACTGAAATTGAAGCTTGAAGGGCAGTTGCATCTATTAATGAGCGTTAGTCCATTTCCTGATGTCTTAAAAGAATAATTACTGCCTTGATTATATGGGCAGTTCAGAAAGTACACTTAGGTTCTAGTGTTGAATTCTATTGAGAAAATGCCTGAATTTATAAACAAAATTATTGTTTTATTTATTTTAAATACTTGCCATACATATTGGAATGATTAGTAATATCCCCTTCCCATTTCTATACTATGTGGTACAATTTTGCTTGCCTATAAGACTAATTTTTTTTCTATGTGAAATACTCTGCCTTAAACATACATGTAACTTATTTAACTGTTAAGAATATCAGCTGATTGAATAAATGTTTTATTTTTTTAATGGGCAAAGAACTTGAATAGACATTTCTCCAAAGAAGATGAACAAATAACCAGTAAGCCCTTGAAAACATGCTCTACATCATGAGTTATTAAGGGAATGCAAACCAAAACCATAAAGAGATACCTGTCCTGAGACGAAGGACACCAGCCCTTTTGTTTTAAGACTTTTATATATCACCACTATAAGAAAAAAAATAAAGATGTAGCAAAATACACAGGTGCCAAGATTCCAGAAACCATACAAAGCTCTTATTTCTTTGTTTTCTCAGTGTCTAATATAGCCTGTGAAATTGGCCACAAAATGCCACATATTGTATGATTTTATTTGTGATCAACAAATGTTAAATGAATGAACAAATACTAAACGAACAAATGAATGAATACAGTGGCTACTAGTCTACTATGGAACTCTGGATATCTGGATAGCTCTTTGTTTTCTCTCTTATTTCTGAGGGGAGAGTCCACTAGACCCAACTTCATCTTTTTATAGAATCTCCACCTCCCGCCAGCACTTTTCAGCTTTCCAAAACTATATCATGATGCCAGAGGCAAACATTAAAATGAGTAAGCATCCCCAATAGGCCCACTTAAATCTCACAGGAACTGTGGCTTGACTTTCATGGAAAAGTACTCATTCAATCATTTCTTCCCATATTTAGGAATGAATTTACACTGTGTATGCTTATCTCCAGAGGACAGAAACCCAACCCTGTTTCTGTTCCTAGGTGTGGTCAATGATATCAAAAGTAAATTCTTTAGTCAGAGCCCTGATATGATAACAGCAGAAAATGAGTTCTTGGGTAAACAAGTTGTAACAACATACAGGCTGTGGCTTTGCCAAGAATCTGACCACACACCTCAGTGGTGGGGTCAATGGTGACTGGATCTCCATGTGCCAGTTTACCCTGGGTCTGTGTGTCAAACAGCCTGAAGGTGAACCCTGGTTAAAGTTGCTCTCAGTGAATCCTGGACCTGGTCCCCGACTTCCTTGCCTGGTGTTACACCACTTGCCTTCAAACACCAACTGTGAATAATCATAAAAACAAAGAGAGAATGTATTTTTTATCTCTTTCTTTGTTTAGTCCTTCAAACAAAATTGACTAAAACATTGAAAATCAAATATATTTTTAATTTTGAAAGGGGGGGTTTATTGTTAGCCCCTTAAAAGACAAGAATAAGTTTCAGGTGACCTTAACTAATAAGAGAATTTTCTTTTTTACTTTTATTCATACTTTTATTTTATTTTCTAGATTTATTGACACAAAATTGACATATTACATTGTGTAAGTTTAAGGTGTACAGCACCTTGATTGGACATACTTATATATTGCAAAATGATATCCAAAGCAAATGACAGCTAACACCTCCATTATGTCACATAATTACCATTACTTTTGTGGTGAAAACATTTAAATTCACTCTCTTAACAACTTTCAAGTATATCATACATCATATAGTCACCACGGTGTACATTAGACTCTCAGAACTTATTCATCTTATAGCTGAAAGTTCGTACCTTTTGACCAACATTTCCCCATTTCCTCACCCCTAACCCCTGGTAACCACCATTCTACTCTCTGTTTCTACAAGTTCAGGTTTCTTAAGATTCCACTTATAAGTAATATCATACAGTGCTTGCCTTTCTCTGTCTGACTTACCTCACTTAATAAAATTCCCCCAGGTTTCATTCATGTTGTCACAAATGACAGGATTTTCTTTTTTTGTGGCTGAGTAATATTTCATTGCATATATGTACCACATCTTCTTTATCCATTCATCTGTTGATGGACACTTAGGTTATTTCCATATATTGGCTATTTTGAATAATGCTGCAGTGAATGTGGAACTGCAGGTACCTCTTCAATATCCCCCTTTCATTTCCTTCACATATATACCCAGAAGTGGAATTATTGGGTCACATCGTAGTTCTATTTTTAATTTTTTGAAGAATCTCTGTACTGTTTTTCATAGTGGCTGCACCAATTTACATTCCCACCAGCAGTACATGAGGGATCCCTTGTCTCCACATCCTTGTCAACACTATCTTTTGTCTTTTTGATGACAGACATTTTAACAGGTGTGAGGTGAAATTTCTTTGTGGTTTTGATTTTCATTTCCCCGATGATTAGGGATGTTGAGCATCTTTTTATGTACTTGTTGGCCATTTGTATGTTTTTGGGAAAATGTCCATTAAGTTCCTCTCTGAGAGAAATGTTTTAAAATGTGCTACTGCTCCACACTCTGAACCATCAAATTATCCTTTACAGATAATATGTGAGACCACAAGGATGAGTAAATAATTTCTCTAGAGATTAAGGTGAATTATAACTGTTTTAGAGACATGGTCTCATGCGCCCTCAGATACTTGGGGAAGGACTCCAAGGTTAGGCTGTGCTATGAGAATGTAGCTGAGACCCTTTGCTCCAGAAATCATGTCTGGAGGTGTGAGCTCAAGAGTGGCCCAACCTGGAATACTTTTCATGTTCATGCCAGTCCTGCTATTCTACATTCACGAGGAAACAAAGCTATGTAAGATGGGCTTACATCATAGAGTAGTGTAGTGCTCAAAAGCCTGGACTAAAGACAGAGCCTGCTAGGGTTCAAATTCTGGCTCTGCAGCTATGATCTAGAGCAGGGTATTTACTCCTCAAGTATCTCAGTGTCAACATGTTATTAGACAACAACAGCAGCCACCCCACAGGGTTGATAGAGGTCTAAATGAAATAATAAAAGCATGAAATTCCTAGAAGTGTCAGTCATATAGTAAGCTTTATATTGTTATATTACCATTAATGCCATAAAAAGATAGAGTTTAATTTAAAGAAAGGAATCTACTAAACAATGTACTAAGGTGATTTATTCACCAGAACACGAATACCTTGAAGAACAATAACTATAATGTCCAAAAAAAGCCTGCCTCAGGTTGGCTGCCAGCCATATCACATAAATATACCTAGAGATAAAATACCATACTAGGTGAGCCTCGTGTGTACTTGGTCGGCCAAGGACTGTAACAGTTTCTGTAGAGAAGTTTATCAGAATAGGAAGTCCTAGAAGAACTGAGGTCAAATAAACAGCAGCAGCAACCAAGATCCTGTCATTGGCCCTATCAAACTACTAGAATTTGGAAGTTCAGTGAACCGCCAAGGTCAAAGTCATTCACATTCTACCTGCTGAGGCATGCCAACCCAGAATCTGTTCCTGAAGTTCTTCCTCCAGAAGTCGGAAATTCTGCACCTTAAAATACCCTCCACAATCTGGTTCATGCACTTTGAGGAACCAGCATAAACCCACCAGATCTATTTAGTTATATCTCTCGGTTCTGCCCATCCTCTGGTTTTGGATGCAAAGCTGATAAGTACTAAGAAAATAAGAATCTTCTTTGGAGAAAAATACTATTATATTCTAATTGCAAAAGAACATAAATTCAAGAGAAATTTTGGAAAATACAGAAAAGCAGAAATAAAAGAAAAAACAAGTGTGACTGGATCCCAGCTTCTCAACACCAAAACTTGGTATATCCTGATTTTTTATTTTAAATTCTTCTGGTTGGAAATTGGTAAGTATTTATTTGTGATTTAATTTTTAATTTATTTAAATTAATTAATTTATTTAATCTATGTCCCTGGTGATTACTGATGTTAACATCTTTTCATGTATTTAATGGCCATGTTGTCATTTTTGAAGTAACTGTTTAAGTCTTTTGCCCATTTTTCTATTTTAGTTGCTAGTCTTTTTCTCTTGAATTTGTAGTTCTTTATATAATCTGGATATAAGAGTTTTAGACAAATATCTTCTACTTGACAGCTTGCTTTTTACTCTTTTAATGGTGTTTTTGATTAATAGAGTTCTTTTTTAATTTAACCTAATTTTGTGATTTTTTTTGTTGTTGCAGTGGGTTCTTGTTTTAGCCTGTTTAAGAAAGCTTGGGTTTTCCAAAGGTCATGAAAATGTTCTCTCATGTCTTCTTTTAAAAGCTTTACTGTTTTACCTCTCACATTTACATCTACAATCCACCTACAATTTATTGTTATGTATGGCATATGGTGCGGATCAGTTTTTGCTAAATAAATACCCAACTTATCCAGGATTATTTATTGGAAAGTTCATGCTTTCTTCTTCTCCACTAAAATGTCATTGTCATCATAAATCCAATGGCTGTCTATGTGTGGGTCTGTTTCTGGACTCTTCTGTTTTATTAAATTATTTGTCCATCCTTAAACAAATATCACTGTACTTAAAGTACTTTTTAAATGAATCTTCATAAAAGATAGATTAAGTTTTTCAGCTTTGCTCTTCTTCAAGATTGCCTTGACCATTCATGGCCCTTTGCAGTTTCATATAAATTTTAGAATTAACTTGTAATTCTACCCTAGGAAAAAAATTCTGTTGGGATTTTTATCAGAATTACATTGAATGTATGAATTAATTTTAAAATAATTAAAGTCCTTACATTATTAAGTTTTCCAATGTGTACACATGGTATACTCCTCCATTTATTTGGGTAGTTTTAACTTTCTCTTAGTAAGGTTTTGTAGCTTTTAGTATAGCAGTCTTACACATTTAATGTTAGATTTATTCCCAAATATTTGATGCTTCGTGATTCTATTATAAGTTATACTATTTAAAAATTTTAATTCTTTGTTTCATTCTCTATTTATTCATACATTGTGTGATGAATAAATTGACACAACCACCTTGGGAAAAATGGCAGTTTCTACTAAAGCTGGACATCTTCAAACCCTATGTAGCAAATTCAATGCTCCACTCCAGATCTCCTGAGCTCTCTTTTCACCCTTTTGCAATACAATTGAAAAATTAAGCAACATGAATGAAGAAACCATTTTCACCTGTAACAACATGAGTTAACTTCACAGACAAAATGTTGAGCAAAAGACAGACCCATGCAGTGTAATTTCATCTTAATTGATGTTAGATTAAACCAAATTGTCATTTTCAAGGGCAAAGAATAGTTGAATATCATCAATTTCATCTTTTTCAATAGAATATATTATTCAAAAATAGTACACACTAAGCAGTAACATTAGAAGTCAAGATAGGGCATACTTTTGAAGGGAGGAAGTGACTAGAAGAATGCATGGAGGACATCTGAGGTGCTAATAATGTTCTGGCCCTTGATCTGGGTGCCAGTGTGCAGGTGTACTCAGTTTCCAAAAAATTCATAAGCTGCACATGTCTTGTTTGAACACCTTTGGATGTGTGTGTGCTACTTATATAATTTATACAGTTAAAAAAATAGGAGTCTTCCTGCCTTGGTTATAATTTAGGCACCAAAATACTAAATACTAAATACTAAAATAAGTATGAGATAGAATTCTTATATCCAGATTTAAAATAAAATCAAGAAATTGTTCTTTGCTTGTTGGAACTCTCATTCAGGTCTAGATATAAAAAGGTGTTGGGATGTGGCAAGCAGACAGAATATAGGAATAGATCTCTTTGGAGAGAGCTGTTAATGTGCTGTGTATCCCTACTTCAGCCCTGATAGAGAGGGATGGGTGAGGTACTTCCTCCTTTGTCTCCAGCCAAAAGAGTGTGGACTTCAAAGGGAGTGTGATTAGGATACTCTGCCCCACAAGAGCCCTGTGGACTACAGGATCCCAGCCCCATTTGGAAAATGTAGGGAACCAGAGAGGACTTCTGAGTTGGTATTGCCTTGCCCACCCAGGAGTGATCAGGAGAAAGGGTGTCTGAGTGCTTCCCATGGATCATATAGGGACCACACAAGAAGGACTCCAGGACCACCCAGTACAGTAAGCCAGGAGCTAAGAAGAGAGCCTCTGGCCAGGGCATGTACACCCAATATACAAAAATGTCTGGTAAAAGTAGCAGATCTGGGACTCCCAAAAGGACACCAAAGTGTCCCACAAGAGGAAGATTCAGATATCTGCCAGATCAGAGATCACAAAAGCCCACAGCCATGAAAGAAATTTCCTAACCTCTTAAACTCTTTCCCCTTTCTCGTATTTGATCCTAGTAGAGTCCAAATCTATAGCTAGTGAATGGGGAGGAAGTGGGCCACAGAGAGAGTGAAATCCAATACTCTCCTGGTCCCTGAATTCAGGCTGTAGCATATGAAGGAGCAGGAGAAGTCTTATCTCTGATGAAAATTAAAACATTAATCCAAGATTAAAATATAACAATAGAGAAAATTAATGCACCAAAGAGCTGGTTCTTTGAAAAGGTTAACGAAATTGACAAACCTCTGGCTAGACTCACTAAGGCAAAAAAGAGAAAAGCCACAAATAAACAAACTCAGAAATGAAAGATGAGACATTATGATGGATACCACATAAATACAAGAATACTATGAAGGGCTTTATGCTACAAAATTCAATAACTTAGAAGAAATGGACAAGTTCTTAGAAATATATAACCTTCCTAGACTGAATCATAAAGAACTGGGAAATCTAAATAAACCAATCAACAGTAAGGAAATTGAAACAACCATTCAAAACTTCCCCAAAAAGCAACGTCCAGGACCAGATGGCTTTACTAGTGAATTTAACCCAACATTCAAAGATGATTTAATACCTATCCTTTTCAAATTCTTACAAAAAAATTGAAGAGGCAATACTTCCTAACTAATTTTATGAGGCCGACATTACCCTGATACCAAAGCATGGTAAAGATAACACACACACAGAAGAAAACTACAGACTAATATCTCTGATCTCTGATGAATACAGATGCAAAAATCCTAAATAAAGTTCTAGCTAATTGAATATAATAATACGTTAAAAAGATTATACATCACAATCAAGTGGGGTTCATTCCAGGGGCGCAAGGATGGTTTAACGTATGCAAATTGATCAATGTGATACACCACATAAACAGAATAAAGCATAAAAATTGTATGATCATATCAATAGATGCAGAAAAAGCATTTGACAAGTTACAACATCCATTGATTATTAAACACTCAATTAAATGAGTATAGAAGGAAAGGACCTCAACATAATAAAGGGCATATGGTACAAACACTCAGCAAATATCATACTTAATAGTGAAAAACTGAAAGCTTTTCTATTATGATCAAGAACAAGATAAGGATGCCCCCTCTTATTACTGTTATTCAACCTAGTATTGGAAGTCCTGGCCAGAGCAACCAGGCAAGAGAAAGAAATAGAAGACATCCAAACTGGGAATGAAGAAGTCAAATTGTCACTTTTTACAGATAACATGATACTTTATATACAAAACCTTAAAGACTCCACACACACAAAAAAAACCCAATTAGAAACAATAAACAAATAGAGTAAAGTTGCAGGATACAAAATCAACATACAAATATCTATTGCATTTCTATACATTAACAATGAAACTTCAGAGAATGAAATGAAAAAAATTGTTTTGCAATTACAATTAAAAAATAAAACAGGCTTTTGAGCTCCTTCTTTTGCTCTGCCCACTCCAAACTCTTTGGAGTGTACTTTCTCTTCTAATAATGGGCCCTTGAGCCACTGCTTTCTGCTCGGGCCTGCTTCTATTTCTTTGAAGTGTACTTTTCCTTCTAATAAACTGTTCTTTCACCACTTAATAAAAATAAATAAAATACCTAGGAATAAACTTAACAAAATACATGAAGAACCTATACACTAAAAACTACCAGACATTATTAAAATAAATTGAAGAAAACACAGAGAAATGGAGAGATATCTCAGTTCATGGATTGGAAGAATCAATATAGTTAAAATGGCCATATTACCCAAAGTAATATACAGATTTAATGCAATCCCCGTGAAAATCCTAATGACATTTTTAAAAGAAATGGAACAAAATAAAATCATCAGATTTATATGGGATCACAAAAGACCTTGAATAACTAAAGCAATCCTGAGAAAAAAAATAATAAGGCCAGAGATTCCACACTCCCTGACATCAATTTATACTACAAAGTGATTATATTCAGAATAGCATGGCATTGGCAGAAAAACAGACAAGCAGACCAATGGAATAGAATTGAGAACCCAGAAATAAACCCACATATATATGGGCAGATAATTTTTGACAGAGACCAAAAGCATACAATGGAGAAAAGAAAGTCTCTTCAATAAGTGGTGCTAGGAAAATTGGAAAGCCACATGCAAAAGAATGAAACTAGGCTGCTGTCACCATATACCAAAATTAACTGAGAATGGATCAAAGACCTAAATGTAGGATCTGAAACAACAAATTGCACAGAAGAAAGCATAGGTACTAAACTTATGGACCTTGGGTTCAAAGAACATTTTATGAATTTGACCTCATATGCAAGGGAAGTAAAAGCTAAAATGAATGAATGGGACTATATCAAACTAAAAAACTTCTGCACAGCAAAATAAACCATTGACAAAATAAAGAGGCAACCAACCAAATGGGAGATTTCTGCAAATAACACCTCTGATAAAGGGCTAATATCCAAAATATATAAGAAACTCATACAACTCAACAACAACAAAAACAAATAATCCAACTAAAAAATGGGCAGAGTACCTGAATAGACATTTCTCCATAGAGGACATACAAATGGCCAATGGACATATGAAAAAAATGCTC